TACCTGAAGTGGGAAGTTGAGAAGAAGGCTGCTTCTTCTGTTCCCACCCCAGGCGCTATTATATACATGCAGTTAGGGTCATGTGGAGGAAGCCACGTCATCTCTGCACACAGCTGCACCTCCCTGGGTGTCTCCATGGGAGATCCCGGAGGTGGCTGCTCAGTAGGTGGGAGTGTGCGTGGCGCATGTGGCGATCAGGGGAACAGGGTTAGGTATGTAGTGGTACATGGAGAAAAGGGAAATCGACCATAGAATAGAAATAGAGAGAAAGGGGGAAAGTGAGAAAGGAGGGATGGGGAGTGATAGCGGGGGAAGCGGAGTAGGGCAGTACGGTGTGGGTGCAGCGCAGGGTCAGGCGGGTGTGCCCTGACACGTTCCCGCTATGCGAGTGTGAGCGCGAGCCCCAACCTCAGCCCTGTCCTCCCTGAGGACTCCCTGCTCACTCCCCTGCTTGCCCTTAGGCTCCCCTACACTTGGCCAACTCCCCCGCTGCTGCACCAACCTTCCCACCCTGAGTCCGCCTCTGGCACCATGCCCAGCGCAACTCCTCTACCCCACTGTCAGGGCACACCCCAACACGCTGTAGGAGAAATAACGGTCACACTATGGAAACCCATTATGGAAATATGCCAGATAAATCACAAAACCCCATACGACAAGTAGATATGAGAAAATAGAAGGACCTGAATTTTAATGAATTTTTACGAATTTTTACGAATTATTATGACTATACGCGATAAATTGAAAGAAAGAAAATTAGCAAAAATACTTCAAGCTTAGCATCAACAAGACGGAATTCTCGGGGGAATTTATACCAAATATTAAAGAAAGAATTAGGACAATCGACAAAGATTTGACTATAGAAACAATCAGAGAACCTCCACGGAAACTACTTTCCCACGTCTGCACACGTAGCCAAGGATTCCTCGGGAGCTAATGCAAATTTCAAAGTCGTGTTTATAATAGGAAATGTAGATGTTCCCCAAATGGACCCAATGAAAGTAATTACAGGGAAAACTATCCATAAACGATGGAGATATGACTAAAACTCCTGCAAACAAGGACAACGCTTAAAAAGCAAGTGCGAAGAATAACCAGTAACAACCGAGACGAGCTTGATAGCCCATTAGAAAGGAAGGGATCTAATCTTAATCCACCCAAATTTTCATAATAAAAGGATCACGCATTAACGAGATATCCAATAATGGGAATAGCGACATCAAAAGTCCGAGCTCAGGGAAAAAACAATGTTTACGAAGGATCCATAATTAAAACATACAACGAAATTTACACGGAAATTATGAAAAATAAGAAACTATAGTTATGCAAATTTTCAGCCCAAACGGTCCAGCCGTTGTAAAGTTATACCAATGACAGGAATATAGAAATCCGCATCATGTTTAATGACACGTGAGGGTGGCAATGCAGGGGGAACCGGACGTCGGAACCGAGATCCGCACTTCAGCAGATTGCGAAGACCAATTTCCGTCCAAATAAGGAAGAGCCCAGTCAAAACAAAGCACGGAAAGTGCAAAACAACCTTAGATCATGAGGGAAAAATCTGAAATAAATCACAGAAGCCCATATGAAAGATATAAAAACCCGCGCATATCATAAATCCCGAACAATTAAACAGAAACAGCGCCCGCATATGAACGACTATGGGAACGACGCACGTGATTACCGAATGTGCACGCAAACTTTTGCTAACTCGACGAATACCAGGAAATAGGACACAACCTTAGTACCATTGGAAAGGTGGGAATAAATGAAAATTTATGATACCAAGAACGTGAGAAACCATCCAGAAATGAATGAGATACTAGGACATGAAGTTAGAAACCTGAAAATGCGCGGGAAAACAGCTTCAAGAGGTCCAGAGCCCTAAATAAAATACATAAAAATATGATATCTTCGAGGACGACCTACTATAACAACGAATAACACATATGGAGGATTAGGATGTGATAATACAAAGGGGAATCAAGGAAGATGAACGAAATCCACGGAAACCACTAAACTACGATGGACCATGGCAGGAATTTTAGGGAACGATATTCTAATGAAGTAGAGAGCTATAATACATTTGTTTGAGTAATTCTTGACTACTAGCAACTTTTTCTTTTGGTTTTAAACCTGAATAATTCACTCATTTACCATTTCAAGTCTCATTTTAACTAAATGTCACTGAATAAAAATGGAATAAATCAGCTGAAGGTCTCAGTGCTGAAGGAGCGGAGCTGGATCACCTTATGTAACCAGTTTCCTACGTCCAATAACGATATTAGAGTTTGTGCTGATTTGTGTACTGACCGTGTTTTGGTTGCCAAATATATAATTGTTCACTGTCTAAACAACAATAAACACCCCCCAACGATCTCACCTGACGTATAGATCGTCTACGGATAAAATTCTATATTGACTTTACTATGATTTCTAGTCAATATTACACCTAGATATACCACTTTTCAGTAGGACGTGATTTTCCTGATAATTTACTGAAGGAAAACTACTAATAAAATAATTCTGCAATAAATGTTACTCAATACAGGAGTGACCAAACTGCTCTTTCTATCGCTTAGAGTGCGTGCTAGTTATCTAGCAGGTTCAGGATCGCTCACTTTTCTCCTGTGGTGTGATAACCAAGTATTGCTGAGAGATTATTCAATTAAGAAGTCCCTCCACCAAATTCTCACTAATTCTCACTATGACACTTTTGTTCAGCTGTGTCTAACTGACCCTAACTCACGCTTAGAGTGACGTGTTAGTTTTATATTAGCTAACAACTAATATTTGCTTTTATCTTTTGGAGCAAACGAACCAACCACTGGTGAGGAGAATTAAACTTTTATTTCTACCTGAGGTTTGAGAGGGGGCAGAAGCGGTGGCCTTTTATGCTTTTCAGAGGCCTCTCTACTCCCACGCCTCGCACTAGTTACATGTGCTACATTTGTATTATAGATAGTTCTAGAATGATATAGGGGGTTGGGCTGTGTAAGCTTAATAATGGACTTAGGACATGACTCAGCAATAAGTAATTCATTTCTTTGTCTTTTGGGCCGATCTCAGCGGGATCTTGTAGCGCTGAAGCTATGCTCTACACCGCCTTAATTACGAACGGTTATCTTTAGAAATGACTCGGCTATAAAGGAACTTTCTAGACTGTTCTCTAATTGACCCCTTTTTGTGAAGCCGCATCATTACTAATGTTCTAGAGCCTTCCCAATTAATTAACTGATCCGCGGACTTCTGAATCACTTCATGCTTATGATCCAAGATCCAGATCATCAATCATTCCTTTGTTCCGATTTATTTGAGCTTAAAATCAAAAAGTTTTGATGAATCATGGGAAAATATACAAGATCCGGTTTTTTAGCATTTTCTCCTCTTCTGATGCGATCAAAAACTGTCCGCCCACGCCGGGGAATACTCTATCATATGGTATTCGGTCCGCCAGACTTCCAGGCGCCAATATATTTCCCTTGAGTCACATTACTTTTTGTAAGAATTAGCAAATAAATATATATGAATTATAAGGTGTTTCGCCGTTTGAGCGATATCTCCGTCAGTTTTGAAGCTTTTAGAATGAAACAAAACCGTGGATAAAGTTAAGAAACAGTCCTTTCAGATGGTAAAAAGATTACAGTCAAAAGTTTACTGGTTCCCGAGATATTCACATTCTTTCCCAATGTTCCTTCTTATTCTGCCGTCTATGTGCTATTTTCTTGTTGTAGGGTTATATTCTTTGAATATTACACCTATGCCAAGTTCTAGGCATGATTGTAGTAGATTAAATCTCATACTACATGGGTGTAGATGATCTAATGTCTGTCCAGTCTCATAAAGATCATGAGATCTGTTAAACGTCTGAACTTGTCACCTGTTCGTTGACTATTCTGATAGATCATTGTTTTATTCTTTGAATGTTATTTCTCCTACAGTGCAGCCGTATGCATAGTAATGCGAAGTTTGAATTCAGAATCACCGAGTCATAGCGAATTTAATGGTAAATATGAGGAATTTGAAATAGGAAACTGTGTCATATCCGTTGTAACGGGTCTATCGCCTAGACTCGAGACAGAGAGAAGGGGGAGGGTGGTAGTGTGCGCAGGTGTGGTTCGTTGGGCCGGGTTTTGGTCCGTGGGTGCTACTGAGTCTGCAAAAACCTCAAACAAACACTCACCTACGTCTCTCTTGGACGTCAAGGCTGAGGATTCTGATAAGAGGGGTCTTAGACGTTATCAACTAGCTCAGAGGGGGCGTTAGGGTCGTGGATGGCGTCTTTGCCACTTGGATGCAACTTCTGCTTGTCCCTTCACGGGTCTATTCAATACTAACTTGTTATGTACAAGCTGTTATCTATTTTATATGAGTTGGAAATGAAATGAATGGGCTGGGGGAATGTAAACGGGCCGTTAGGCAACCGTAAATAAAGAATGTCCAATTGGGAACAAAGAAACAATAAAAGAAATATGAATGAATGGGGAAAATGCGACAACGGGTCCGAAATGGGAATTGTGAAGATTAACTCCGCAACAGTTCGCCACAACACCCGCCTATCCTCCCGTCAGCAACCTCCTCGTCTCCAGCTTTCCAACGAGCCCTTATTCGTCCCAATTGGTGCAGTGGTTCTTGAGATGTGGAGAGGGGGTGAAATTGGCGGCGTGGTTGGGCGTGGGAATTTGGCTTGGGGCTGTCGGGAATGATGGGGAAAATATGGAAAAATATGGAATGAGTGTATGGAGTGTTAGATAGTGATAGAATGAGTATCGGGAGCGTCAGCGGATATGTACTGCGTGTTAGTGACCAAATTCCGCAGAATCCGACTTTTTGCGGTACACGGAGTTGTCCCCACAACATATAGGCCTTGCTCTTGATCGTGGTCCCTCACGATATCCTCAACATCCTTAATGTATAAATAAAACGAGTGTGATTGTAATACGAAATGGCAGGCACGTTGCATTGGCAAGTGGATAAATACATGGGCCCAGGCGGTTGGCTTAACATGAGGAGGGAGCAGCGGATTCCCGACGAGAACTCCTACGTGACACTGAGGTCTTCCTTGAGGCAGAATCCTCTTCAGTATGGGCCCGTGCTTGCCCTTTAACATCTCGCTCTGCCTTAGGGTGTTCATCCATGGGGCTGGGAGACTTAAGTACTGGCTCGACGTCAGCGGGTGCGTCCTTGGGGTCTCTGGGGATCACAGCGGGTGGTTGGAATTCGGGCGTAGCGCCAAAGAACTTCTTGACGGATTCTTTGTCTATGTCCCTAACCCGACGGGTCCACTCATTGGTCTTGATGGTAAAATCCCTTGCAAGTGGAATCTTTGGCGCTGGTACTATGGCTACGGGCATCTCACTTGGTCTAGTGAGACTATCAGCGGGTGGTGCAACCTTCTGGACAGGTGGCGCCACGGGAGTTGACCTTAGGAATGGCAACGCCGTTCTTCTAGGTGCTGTCTTGTTGTTATCTGTCTCTTGCTGACGGATGGGGGATCGTCGGAAGGCGCGTCTGCCTTCTTGAAGTCTTTCGCGGCTGGGTTCTGGTGGGCGGCGTCGATAGCGTCCTCGACTCCTACGGCGACGTGTGTGTGGCGCATTAGGGTTGCCGTAGCCCATGGAGCACTCGAAGGGAAACAGGGGGTAGCGGTCGAGCTCGCGTTGCATAGTTCTTAAGGGAGTTTCGTCATTAGTCGAGCCGCTGGCCTCAGTGGCGGGAGCGGCAACAAGCATGGGGCTCTTGTCCGAGTGTATAACCTCAATAGTCGGCCTGCCCAATAATAACTTGACTTCTAACTTATGCTCAGGATCACTTCGCGTGGAATAAGAATTTTGAAGAATATAAGAGCCCTTCCCGCCCCAGGATAGCCGATAAAACAGGTCAGGGGGACCAGGGGGGAAAGTCTTCAGGTCACCGTCTTCCTTGAGCTGAGTGGCATGGCGGGAATTCCAAAATTGGGTGTCCTCATCGATGAACTTCTCGAATTCATGTTCGTGTTGGCTTGGATGGGACCCCAGGTCTGGATTCTCGGCTCTGGCGTGCACGCTCTCGTATTTCTCCTGCCAATACTCAGCTAGCTTCTCGTCCTTGAGCTCCCAGGGCTTGGGCGGAGTCAGGTGTCTAGGCTTAGTGGCGTAGGACGCATAATTTGCCTCGTTGTCTGGTTCCTCATAACCTTCGGAAGGCTTAACGGGTTCTCGGATTATTGACTCTTCACCATCTAACTCTTGCAACACAAGGGCGCCGCTGCGAAGTCTCTTGTCTACCATATGCGGTCCTAACCATCGCGGCTGGCTTGGAGGGAACTCCAGATCTGAATTCCCGACACGATTGTCATAACTGTTGGAGCTAAGCTCTTGGGATCGGCATAAGGAATCCTCATGGCTCCCGCTGGAGCGTTCACAGCTTTCTGGCGGGTGTGTGACTTCAGTGACTTCGGCGTGGACAACGGGCTTCTCTTGAGCAGTCAAGAAGTTAGCAAGAAAACAGATTTCAAGTCCGGTGAAAGACTTCGGTGCAATGCGAGCTATCATTGCTGCCTCCGTTGATCCAGGCTTGACAACGGTACATCCAGTCTCTGAGTTCTGAGCAGTCACAGGCAACGGCTCTGCAACAACGGGCTCATGATGCATGCACGGGAAATCTTGTGCTGCAGCTGTTCCCTTAGCGGTATCGACGTGCTCGACAATTCCCGTAGAATTTGGACCAGACAGTGCCAAGGGACCTGCAGCGGCTCTTGAATCCTCAGCATGGGCTGCTTCCCGTCCTTCTAGAACAGAGTTAAGGCCGTCAGGCCTTGGCTCTTTAAGCTTTTGCTCCGGCAGTGCTGTCAAAGATGTCACTCGGGTTGCCGGCTCAGGGCAATTTGAGGTGTATACGAGACTAGAATCGCGCATGGGGAATGGAAAGCATTCCATCTCAGTTGACGTTTCCTTAGCTGAGTTCAAGCCCGGTCCCTTGACTTGGCTGACCCGTTCAGTATAATCCGTGAATCCCAGACTATGGGGTGCCTTGGAAGGTATCCAAGAATTCTTAAGCGCTCTAAGGACTTCTGAATCTTCCATGTTACGGTCCGCTAGTACATGATCGAGGCCGTCAGGCCTTAGCTCTTTAAGTTCTGTCTGTGGCGCGGTGAATGTCGAAGGAATGCAGCTCGGGAATTGTGGCGGCTCTGATGCCTGGGCAGATCCCACAGTACTAATGTCGTATGTGGTGGCGACAGCTCTCGCGTCACGACGAGCTTGAACAGGATAAACATTTCGTGGGGCATTCATAATCGGAAGTTTGATGCGGACGGATGCTCCGCTATCGCGATTGCCTTCATTCCAAACTTGAATTACCATCCCTACATCGTGCATATACTCGATCTTAGTAGAGTGGCCGAAGAGCCACGGTTGACCTAGTATCATATCCTTTCCATGAAGGGTATCTCGCGTAAGAAAGAAGTTGTGGGTAACTTCAATTCCCCCGATGGTAACGGGTACGTCTCTGCAAAGACCTTCTAAGGCGACTTGGTGTCCAGATACACCGCGAAGAGTCCACATGGCGCCAGTAGGGTCGACTGGAAGTTCTAGAGCATAAGCTTGCTCGCTTGTCATGATGTTGAGCTCGCTGCCGGTGTCAATTAGCATAGTGCAAGGACGGTTGCTAATCTGTCCTTGAATCTTCGCGGTTACCATAGCCAAAAATGAAGGTTTCTTAGACATAGTACTGGCGCCAAGATAAGAGCGCCCAAATTCGCGTATGTGCTCAGATTCCAAGAGCTGCCGATAGTAATTCTCAGCTTGGTCATCCGTGCCGATGGACCAAGTGCTACTACTGTCATCGCCTTGGGACTCAAGGCCAAAGCTCTCGAATACCACCTGGCTAGAGCTAGGATCTTGCGTGAGTGGCGAAGGATCGTCTACTTGGGTCTCGATAATCCTGGGTGGCTGCCGGTTTTTAGTCTTTCGGAGATACTGCTCCCAATCAGGATCGTAATCCTCGTCAAGTGCGCAGGGAGTGTTATTGCTGGAATGAGAGTCCAAATCGCGCCTCTCAAGCAGGGTCTTGTTGAATTTCTCAGCATCGGGGCACAGAACTGGTTCGGGGGTGCTATGCGCCACTTGACGGGAATCCTCGTCGTCAAAATGGTCATAGGTATCCATGACTTGGAGGGCCAAGTTGCAGAGGTCCTCGTCCTCGAGACATGCTTTAAGGTCAAAGGTTTCAAAGGGTTTCTCAGAATTATCCTCGTTTTTGTTGAGGCGCAGATCCAATTCGGGGCCTTTGTGATGATCCTCAGGTTCATCCTCAGCGTTGAAATACGAATCTAAGTCAAAGACATCGTAAACTGTCTCGCTGGGGACTGGCTCGTCTTCTACTGGCATTAGTACACTATCTACACCAGCTTCTAAGTTATGGACTTCGTAGATGGGCTGGCTATCGTCTGAGTCGTAGTTGACGGGTGCGGTGTACTGCAGACTCGCAGTACTGGACTTCTTATTCACTGGGATCCTCTGAACCTTTGTCGCCGTCTGCATGCGCTTGTTGAGCTCGAAAGAGGATCCTAAGACGGTGCCCAGCGGCAGCGTCACATTCTGTGCCATGAATTGCTCGAATGCAGTCTCTGTGTCTAACTTGTCCTGCAGCTCGGACGCGAACTTATAAGCGGGCACGGTTCTTCTGGTAGGTGGCGCCTTTGCATTAGGGGCAGGGCCTTCTTCAAAGGTGACCTTAGCTCGTGGGCCACTCGTTCCCGAGGGGCCGGCTGTATTGACGGGTGGCTGGCGTGGATACGCCCTCTGCTTCCCCTTGTCTTGGGGTACGGGTTCAGCACTGACCATAGGAACATCTTGCTGGGGCTGGGCCCGTTTGAGGATGACGGGTGGTTGAGGAAGCTCAACATACGCGCGGTTGGGTGGCGTCCCCAATTCCTCGGATGGAATGGTCCGCCTAACGGGAGGTGGTGGCCCTGGACTAGGGGCCCGATCGTACGGCTTGGCTCTAGTTGGCTTAGTCTTATCTGCGTCAGTTCTCTCGGCTGGGTACGCTTCCGCGGGCAGGACTTCAAACTCGCCGTCGCCTAAGACAGCGAATTCTTGATGGGCTTGCTCGTAGTCGCGCATCCATTCTAGAGTTGCGGCACTAGTACGCATGTTAGCTTGTTCACGGATTAAGCGGGCTGCCCCCCCTCCATTGGGGTTGCGTGGTAAATAAGAACCGTCAGCCATGATCAGTCTGTTAGATGCGGCGTCGAGTCTGAGTATTCCGGCAGCGATGAAAGCTTTAGTCTCAGCACAGTCCTTGGCTTGGTGACCGAGTCCGTCGCACATGAAGCAGCGATCGTGAGGGGGCCGGGTATTGCGAGTCCTGTCTGTGAGGCGGGCCATTGCAATAGTTAGCCTGTTCATACGGTCTTCAAGGTCTTCCATGTTGGACTTGAAGTTCGGATTCTGGGGTACTTCCACTTTGGCCTCGACGGCCTTAGTGTCTTCGCTGGGTTCGGCGGTTCTGTACTTGGTTTTCTTTGTCATCTTCTTGCTGGGTGACTTAGCTAGTTTCCGACGCGACGAGGTTGGGGGTTCTGGCTCAGCCTCAGTTGCCTCATTATCTGAATCGTTGTCTCCGGAATAATCGCTGTCTTCTGGGGAACTCTCTGGGGAATATTCGCTTGCGGAGTCTGAGTAGCCGTCAGAGTCGTCTGCATGGTACAGGTCGTGCTGCAAGAGCTCCTTGGCCGTAGTGACGACATGATCCATAGGGGGTGCACGAGTTAGGTCGGTCCAACGGTTGTGGGCCTTCAATTCTTGCTTGACTCTTTTGCGGAACGCGGGGACTTGATCCCTCGATAGAAATAATCGTCCTTGTCACCGGCATTAAGTGCATGCCTCTGCTCGAGCGATTTGGCGATAACCTGGAACTGTCTGCGGTAGTCATCGAAGTCTTTACGGTTCCTGAGCTTGCGCTTCTTTTCTACGAATTTTCTGAGATCTTTGGGGCGGTAAACGCGGTCTTCTTGTTCAGCGGGGTAAAAGTTGAAGAGATCTTGCTTCAACGCATCCCAATCTTTGTTCTGGAGGCTGTCAAGAGTGCGAATAAACTTTGCCTCCTTCTCTGTGCAGTAGGAGACAATATAGTCGCATTTTTGCGGGTTGGTAAGATTCGCGGAGTTGGCTTGAAGTTCAAAATCGTGGAGAAACTTCTTCAGCTTGGTTCCTTTGAACCTGGGGGCTTCCCTGGAGCGGGCGCCGGGCATACGGCTGACTGTAGTAGTGTGGATTGTGGGGATGGGGTTGGCAGCGGGGCCAGCGGCGGGAATGGCATGAGAGGTGTGAGACATCTTGCGTGTACTATAGTAACTTGGGTTGTAACCGAATAAAAGTTGTTCTGACTGTGTGTGCGAGCGCTACGTCCGTCTACGCGAGGTTTTGGAACGAGTATGGAAGTTGGGGAAAATGGAGAGGCGCAAACACTGCTGAAATCCCTCCCCTGTAAGGACCACCAGTTTTGTAACGGGTCTATCGCCTAGACTCGAGACAGAGAGAAGGGGGAGGGTGGTAGTGTGCGCAGGTGTGGTTCGTTGGGCCGGGTTTTGGTCCGTGGGTGCTACTGAGTCTGCAAAAACCTCAAACAAACACTCACCTACGTCTCTCTTGGACGTCAAGGCTGAGGATTCTGATAAGAGGGGTCTTAGACGTTATCAACTAGCTCAGAGGGGGCGTTAGGGTCGTGGATGGCGTCTTTGCCACTTGGATGCAACTTCTGCTTGTCCCTTCACGGGTCTATTCAATACTAACTTGTTATGTACAAGCTGTTATCTATTTTATATGAGTTGGAAATGAAATGAATGGGCTGGGGGAATGTAAACGGGCCGTTAGGCAACCGTAAATAAAGAATGTCCAATTGGGAACAAAGAAACAATAAAAGAAATATGAATGAATGGGGAAAATGCGACAACGGGTCCGAAATGGGAATTGTGAAGATTAACTCCGCAACAGTTCGCCACAACACCCGCCTATCCTCCCGTCAGCAACCTCCTCGTCTCCAGCTTTCCAACGAGCCCTTATTCGTCCCAATTGGTGCAGTGGTTCTTGAGATGTGGAGAGGGGGTGAAATTGGCGGCGTGGTTGGGCGTGGGAATTTGGCTTGGGGCTGTCGGGAATGATGGGGAAAATATGGAAAAAATATGGAATGAGTGTATGGAGTGTTAGATAGTGATAGAATGAGTATCGGGAGCGTCAGCGGATATGTACTGCGTGTTAGTGACCAAATTCCGCAGAATCCGACTTTTTGCGGTACACGGAGTTGTCCCCACAACACCGTGCATACCCGACCCTGACCCGACTTCCGGACCTCCACCCTCTTCACCTCTGGAGTCATAACCTACCGCTGCCGTTCCGATACTCACCTTCGGTCCTGGAAACACACCTCCTCCTTACCTCTCCGACCCTATCTCTGTCCGCTCCGATACTCACCTCGGACCGAACACCGCCCCTCTCGCCATCCTCCTACGCTTCCCCCGTCCGCTCCGATACTCACCTTCAGACCTGACTACTCTCCTTTCCGCCACTCCTTCTCCCTTACCTTTCCCCTCTCTCCTCCCTCTGTTACTCCTCTGCCACCCTTCCGCCAAGTTACGACCTTCCACCGCTGTCCCGTACTTCGCACTTGGACACCGCTCGTACCTTGCTCCGAGCCTCCGTCATAGTCCCTACCTCGGACTTTGACTCCACCTCAGTCTTAGTCCATTGCATTGGTGACCTCATACTACGTAAACACCATTGCCAATATCCCTCAGACTTTCAACCCCACCTCCGTAACCTCCATAACCTCCGCAACCCCCAAGCTTCGCAGATCGCCTTCGGCACTCTCGCCGCTTGTAATGTATTTCTCGCATTTTCCCCTCATCCCTATTTGGACTACTGCTTCTTCCTATTCTAGCCAGTTAGTCATCATCCCCACTTCCCCTCATCCTCCTGCCCCTCTGGGCCTCGCCCTCCCTACCTCCTTTCGGACGTATCACAGGTCCTGCCTTATGACCTTCGGTACCGCTCCGCTCCTTCTACCCTTTGTTCCCGTTCAGACATCTTCGTTCCGATTCGGTTACCCTTTGTTCTCCTTGTGCTTTTGCCCCTTCCATTATATATATCAGCGCTTGTACATACTCGTTTTGGTTTTGTCCGAAATCGACATGAATTCCCCCCAAGAGACTTTCCCTCTGCTAGATCCG